CAGAGTTAGGTGCGCCGAACTCGGCGCCAGACACTGCTTTGACGCTCCACCACTCTCAAAATATGCAAAATGAGAATGAACTTGCCGCTAGAACATGGACCACCACATTTTTGTCTTTTTCACATTTCGAGAGTGGTGTGGCGACGTCCTCTCTCTCTCTCTCTCTCTCTCTCTCTCTCTCTCTCTCTCTCTCTCTCTCTTTCTTTTTTCCTTTCTTTCTCGTTCTTCTCCCCCTCCTCCCCCCCCCCGGCCACGCCCGTTTTTCTTTCACATCGTTACTTCTTATTTTCTTTGACTTTTCCCCCCCCCCTGTTTTTTCTGGGAATACCGGTCTTCCGTCGCTAGGTACCCCACCCGACGCTAACGGCCGCATCGGATTTTTGTAGCCGGGCGAGGTACTGGTGGTTTAAGATCTTGGACAAGGTCAACAGACACTGCATATGGTGGCACAGGGTGGACAGTTAGATATGTAGACTCTGTAAAGTGACCCAGGTACAGAATAACAGGGAACATCTGGTCTACCCATGGGGCTCTTAGAGAAAATGCATATGCCTCGTGGCCGACGTACCCATACAACAGGGCCCGTTTGAATATGCTTCAACCAGGGCTGAATGGAATATCCTGTTTCTTTTTTCTTTTTTTTTGTCTGGGACAAATGCTCCAGTCTATTTGTGAATGGAATATCCTGGTTAGCGCTGGTGCCTGCAACTGCTGTCCGGTCAGGTCGAGCGGGTGTGGCGGGGACCACCACCCACCTCGAGAGGGTAAGGGGTGATTCTCCTGAGTGGTAGACAAGATGGTAGGACTGAGGGAGAGCGGGTGCGCCAGGGAGAATTGGGGAGAAGAGGTGGGTGGGGTCCCGTGAGGGGGAAGACCCCCCCCCCCAAAAAAAACAAAAAAAAAATTCCGATTTTTGAAAGAGAAAAGGAGATGATATCACAATGCAAATTTGAGCCGACGACGCGCGAGGCTTTACTCTCACAGTTAACGCCGTACGGTTCATGGCATGCGTGTCCATGAAGTGAAGCCGTGCGGCTTTACTCTCACAGCTAACATTGTACAGGAGAGAACTCGATGTCTCTCTCGTATAGGTTCAACCCGTACCCCACCTATATCGCACTTCCCCTCTCTCAATGGGGCTTGCCACACTACTCTCCAATCCGAAAAAAAAAAATTTTGAGAGCACTCTCGAACCCCCTTGGATTCCAGAAATGCGTGCGGAGAATGCAGTTCGCTGCACTGCACTCTCGAATGCCGGCGATCTATCGAGCTTGGTTTTTGAGTGTGCACAGACGTTCAAGACCGACAACCAGACTGTTGTCCACCGCGACAAACTCGCAAACTTTGGTCCGAATTTGGAGGTGTCTTCGAGATCTCCCAAAAGTGGGCCACTTTGGTGGGTGGTGGTCCCCGCCACACCAGGCGGCTCGAATGAGTTTTAGAGAGTGCTCTCGAACCCCTGCATCGCAACAGCTCGCTTGGATTTCTTTTCTCGTTTCGGATTTGAACCTGGTGTGGCGGGGACCACCACCCACCGAAGTGGACAAATTCGAGACTCTGTTAAACCGGCACTACACGGCCCCAGCCTTGGATTTTTTTTTTTTTTTTTTTACTTTTTTTTAATTTGGACCATTTCTCGATTTATGTGTGTCATCCTTGAAAGCGCAGGGGCCATGCTAATCTTCTCTGTATCGTTCCAATTTTAACGGACATCCTGAAGGACCTCTCGCCTTGGAAACTTTCGTCGTTACCTACTCCCTACTCCTGAAATTTCCGAGGCTCGGGGCTGCAGGACCACAATCATTATGGCTGGCGGCGGCAGCCGAAGAAGAAAAGAAGTGCGCCGCTGGCAGTTCGACAAAGCTTGGTGGTGCTCAGTGCAGCGCCTCCAGGGCTGGGTGAGCTGGTGGTGTGAACTACCGTCTTCACCTGAATAGAACGCCCGGTCATTATCGCTGTATTTACACTGGAAGTTGGCCCAGATACAGCTATAATGACCGGGCGTTCTATTCGGGTGAAAACGGTAGGTAAATCCATCACTTTTACCGCAGTCAGTAGGAGAATTC